TCTTATCCCCTTCTCTCATACTCATGTTGTTTCGCAAGAGTACGAAGAAAATCCATTTGCGTTGATCATCAGTGTTGCATCGCATGTTGATCACTCTGCTAATCTTCCTTACGTTCGTTTCGTATCCTGAAGATATTACTATCTCAGCACTTCTCCTAACACCTATGGTTTACTTTCGTAAAAATTCCGGACGTGTTTTTTGCTATTTTTCAGTCTGAAAAAAGTTCATTGATTGGGCCACCCGAGAATACACGTGAACATGTTGTGGCTGCATCGCGAGCTATGCTAAACGGTGATTGGAAAAAGTGCCGAGATTATATTGTGAATGACAAAATGAATGCCAAGGTCAGTTTGAGGGATTTCGTATTTGAATTGTAAAATGGTTTTTCATCTGAGAGGATTTTTTTTTTGTTTGCCCTTTATTTGCGCTATTTGCGCTTTTCGTTTTCATTAGTGCTAATAAAATTTTAGGACTTTTTTTTCCAATTCTTTGATGGAGAACGTTTCCCATATTTTATGTTTCCGCCCCAGTATGAAAGGAAATGATTTTTTTTTTTTTTTGGAATTTAATTCTCTGAGCCATCATTTCTGTTTTATTTATTAATGTGTCCTTAATATGGGATTTCCACTTATTGATCATCCCGATCGTCCGAGTGGTACTATTAGAATTTACCGCAAATTGCATCTGTTGAGTATTTTTAGGTCTGGAATTTGTTCCGTAATTCTGAGAAAGCAAAAGAGATGGTGATTGGTCGTATCCAGGAAGAATCGCTGCGTACCTATCTGTTGATGTACTCAACCGTTTATACCACTGTTTCACTAGATGTCCTCGCACAACTCTTTGAACTCGACAAAAGAACCGTTCATTCTGTGATTAGGTTTGCTTCAAAATTTTCCGTGTAGAAAAAAAAAATCGCCGCCATCAGCTTATTTTTCGCTAAGTAACTTTCGAAAGAGGAAGCCATGGACAGCCTTGTCAGCAGCAGGTCATTACTGCTTACTGTACGTTGTTTTGTAGTTGTTAAAACCGGTTTCAGTAAAATGATACTTTCGGAGGAACTGGCAGCAAGTTTGGATGAGCCAACAGACTGCTTGATAATGCATCGTGTCGAACCGAGTCGTCTGCAACTTCTTGCTTTGCATCTAACCGACAAACTCACTCAGCTTGCTGATAGCAATGAACAGGTTTGGTTTCCGCAACATTATCTATCGCCTATATGCTTCTAATTGAATTGGAACATTTTCGATTTTACAGATTCTTGAACCACGAGCTGGTCGCAGCTACACGGGGCCAGGTGCTTGGTACGGTATGCGACAGGAACGTATCACTATGGAGCAGCAACCGCGCGCTAATCGTATGAATTATCAGGTGAGTACGGCTGTAATG